AGATGTACATAAATTTTACAATATCTGTTTTTTTGCTTTACTCTATACCCTGTTCGTAATATTCAAAAAAATTAAAAGTTGATTGTTACTGTCCTGGGAAACCAGAAGCTGACTGCAGACTGGTTAAAACTTAGGTTTTTTTTTTCTGAGCCATCATCAACAAAGCAATCAGTTTTACATGCATGCAAGGGTACCAGAAAAAGAGTATCAGATGCATATTTAGGTTAAATGCCCCCCTTCCACCCATACAGGCACACACAAACACTCCCAGAGCAGAGACCAGGAGGAACACTAAAAATCTCTATAGAAGTATTTATTTTAAAAATAGAAGCTATAGATCAGCTCCACAMTGACTTACATGACAGTTGCCCGTGCTGATTCTTTGCAGGGGTCTGTGAGGCATTGGCTGTAGCAGCCAAATGGGCTGATAAACACTTGACAGATCCTGCAGGGTTGGAAGGACTCAGCACAGTGATTCTYGCAGCCAGCCAGCACCACCACTCTGTATTGACATTGGCAGGGCTGCAGGGGTCTGTCAGAGGGAAAGTGGTGACATCATGCAGCCTTCATCCTTCCACGGTGACCCACATCAAAGGCAATTTAATCACTGCCCAGAGGAATGGACATTCTGTAATATACAATGAATCATGTTTTGAAGTCCTAGGAGGTCATGCACAGCTCCTGGCAAATCCAATGGAGGAAGGTGATGTGGATGACAACCTTTTACAGCAGATCCCAGAGAGATTGTAACTGATGATGATATAGCCCCCTCAAAGTCAGCCCTTGCATACTGTAATGGCTGGGCATGGAGTTATCAGCAGCTCTGCAGGGACAYTGATATACACAGCATGGTTATCACAAGTGTTAACACAGCTTGAGAAAGAAAATCTTCCAGTAAATGTTCTCAGTCAGAAATCATTAGGACAATTAAATCAGTTGAATATTCATGTTGCCTGATCTAGCTGAGCACAGCTTGGTACCACAGCGATGTTCCAGGCTGAATTTCCAGTCCTATGAATCCAGATCTGCTGAGCAAAAAGCATGGTCCTTTAGCCATGCCTTCCACCACCAGCCGGCTTCCCTTTGCTCTCTTGCTTTAGCACTGGCAGGAGCATAATGAAGGACCGTTACTTGTTTAGCCCTACCCCTGCTCTAAAACAACTGTATGATGTCTCAAGGCTAACTTGAACCTGTGCACTGACTGTGCTCTTTGTTGACCACTATTTATTTATTTATATGCAAAACATATAAATAAACATATCCATTTTTACTTGCATTGTTACGCACACACACAGATGCACACTCGTATATACCTACAAAAACAACATGTTCTTTATGATTGGATATCAAAAAAAAGGTAAATAAAAATGTTTGTKAGAGTCCCTTGCATGCCTAGATCTACAAATTATTAATTAAAAAATTGCAAAGTCTAAAATATGCAGAGGTATGTAGTATCCTAAAGTTCAGTCTTATTACTCACTGCTAGCTAGGCCCATTCAGAAAACCAAGACTCTATTCCATGTGAAACATGAAGGTCAACATATTTAATTTCTCTGTAGAATTAAATCAAAATACAACATTCTCCATGGATGCTGCCATGAAGAAACAGACTTAGAAGACATCTGGTGGTGACCTAGAATCTCTAGGTTAGCTGAAGGGGTTGAATCTCAGTCTCTGATATTCCAGGTTCTCTCCAAGGAAGGGCAAAATTCCTTCTGGATATGAGAAACTTACTCAGCAGCTTCTTTTATGTACTGCTTTGTTTTAGCAAAACATTCCACAATTATATTTTTGGATGAATCTGTGATTCTGTGAAGCATTTCCCACTAAAARCCTTGTTCAGCTGGACAACAAATGTTTTATTCTGGTTAATGCTGTAGATGAACTCATTGGAATCACACCTTGTCTGTCCATGGGTGCCAGCTCCTCCTCTGCTTTAGTACATCTCTGGGAGGAAAGATCATAAACACAGAAGAGACCCARTGGGAGTTTCTGGATGTCTGAAATCAATTGAACATGTGTGGGAAACACTTAGGATGCAAGTGGACATGCTTGCTGGTGCAGCCACCCCTCTTGAGCCCACCCCATGCAAGGAGTGGATCTTTGGTCATGTGCAGCCACCGTGTGCCTCCCACCCCCGCCAGCTGAAGGCACTCTGGATTCTCAGCATCTGACAACATGTGCAGGTACTTCGATCCTCTGAACACAGGACATTTGTGAACAGCTGCCTGGGAGAGATGTGAGTGGAGACCTTTGCCTCTTTTTTATGAGCATATTGCAGCTGCTGGCAGGTCTCTGTTCACAGTTGACAAAACAGCAGAGGAAAACAAAGGAGAGGAGGAGGCCTATGTTTGCATCTGCAAGGGATTGGGAATCCAGAGATTATTCACCGCAGCTGCAAGTTTCATCATGGGCAACTTTAGCAGGAAGAGTTTTCCTACTTGCCAAAATGAGTGTTTAGTTGTCCYGAGATGTACTGAGCAAAGCAGAAATGCCACTATTTCTTTGATCAACAKTTCAAAGCGATACTCAAAATGCTGGGGAGGTTGTTCACAGACTCRTTTTCAGCTGAACCTAAAAAAGGTAAGGGCAGAGCTTGTTCAGAACTGATAGTTACCATGTGGTAASTCCTAACCAGCAGTTAACACTAACACTCTCCCTAACCAGGTTCCAAACAGAAAAGTGAAAATTTTCTCCAAAAACCTGGAATGTCACAGATTCCCCAAGTCTAGTGAGAGAGCTGGTATTTGCATAAACCTCTTTAAAAATCTTTGTATGAGTGAAGAGTTTTTTTCTGGTCTGTATATTATCAAATCATGGCACTGAACTGCTCAGCAGACTCACTCAAACTCTTCTGGCCATCTCAAAGGCAAAGCTGATGATTTGAGAGGAGCTAGGGACAGATTTCCCATCGACATCTCTTTCCCGGCTGTGACAGGAAACTACGATGTCTTTATTGTTCAGGTGTTTAATGCAGTCAGCAATAAAAAATAATGACTCTGTGTATGTAACACGGATCAAAATCCAATGATGTGCAATTCTGTGTAGTCTTCAGGCTCCCTCCATGTGCCTTTGTCAGTTGTGTTCCTCTGCTGTGCAATTCTAAAATGCCTTTTTCCTGTGAAATATAATTGCCTGTATCTTTTCCTGAAGATGGTGAGATCTCTCCCATGTACCACAGGGTTCACTCTGGAAGGACCTCACAGAAAGTGACCACTGGAAAATAAGTATTGAGAATTATGTTGCTCCGGGCACTCCAAGTCACACCTGCCTGCTGCCTCCACTGAAATACCTTCTTAGAACTCATGTTTTCTACCACTACTGCTAGTGGGAATCCTCCCACCCTTTCTTCTTTCCTGTGTGATTTAGCCAGCTTTTTGAGAAAAGTGGGCTTGCAGGAAGTTGCGCTTCTGAAGGCATGCTTACACTCCTRCCTAGACCTAGACCCGGTCCTAATGTCTACAGGCAGTACCACCCATACTGCAAGGTTGGGTCTAACACAGCACATCTGTCACTGAGCCCTGGGACCATACCCTCACACTAATCAGCGCTGTGCCAGGAAACCTTCTTCACTTCTGGAAAACAACCTCGGCTACCTTTTCGAGATACAATGTAGAAGAGCTATGTTCAGGTTTTGACACAGTAAGTAGGATTGCCTCAGCATTGGTCTTTYGGGCTGTTTCAGATGTCCCAGCCAGTCTTACCTGCCCCCAAGCAGTTGGAGACTAGAGTTTCCCACAAATCCTCTCCCCATCAACCACCAGAAGACATGTTGGTGTGTCAGATCCACTCAAGTGTCACTAGATACTACAGCTGGGAATCTGCACTGGGCTGCTTAGTGCCTTCACTAGGAAACTCCCAAGGAGAGGTCAGAACCTGAGCTAAAATACCTGAATAAAGACTTGTGATTTATGGCTGAGCTATTCATTTTCTAAAATGGCTTGGAAGCATTTTTGTTGACTGACTTAATTTGTAAACAGCAGTGCATCAGCTTACCTATGCCAATGTTATTTGTTCTCTKTGTGTCTTGTCAGTGAGTGTGTATGTACCAGTTTCAGCACACAGTTAGCACTCAACCTAAAGCAGTGCCTAAAGCAGGTAGGGGTAATGTAGGTCTGCCTCAGCTCTAGACCCAGATCTTAATTCCTTCAAAGTCAGGGGGTGTTGGGGTCTGAGGTTTTGCAGCAGACAGAGCCCTGTAAACCTCAGCTTCACCTGCTCCCTCCTTCTGCCTCCCTCTGGGAATGAAGAGGAAAGCAGCAAAGCTGACTGCCAGCTGGGCACAACCAYGCCCAAGGGGAAAATTCCTCCTAGTCTCTGCAGGGGAGTTCATGTCTACACCGGTGCAAAAGGCCTAGTTACCTCAAYCTTTGCTTGTCCAGCTCCAAGTGTAATTAATTGACATAAAATTATCCAGCCATTTTTCATATCCTGATCCATTGTTTGGATCAGTGGCCTCCTGCAGCACCAAATTCCACAGGTTGACTACATACTGTGTGAAGTAATATTTCTATCCATTTACTGGCCATTAATTTCTGACCTTTGGGAAATCTGAAATATGTATGATCATGTAAAGGATCTTGAGCCATTCATAGCTGTGTGTTGTGCAAAACACATTTGTTCATTTAACTAAGTCCCAAGTTCATTTGGCTCCAACTTGAGCACCAAACAAGAAAAATTAGCCCAAAAAGCAAGAGAAATAGCAAGAAGCAAGCTGYCAGCTGTTAGATGAGCAAACAGGGAGCTACAGAGATTCCCAGAGCCAAATTGTTATCTTATTTATGTTAGCATAAATCTGAAGTAACTGCACTGAATTACCCTAGATTTATCCTTCTGTAAAAGAGATCAGAATCTGACACTCGCTCTGGAAATTTCCTTYGTCCAATTTCAATTCTTCCTAGAAACAGAATGAGACACCATTGTGCCACAGCTTTGTCAAATATTTCTTTACRGAAAAGTATCAAATAACCAACAGTTCTGAGGAAAAACAAAATCCCTTGCAAAAACATTTAATAATCAAAACAAATCTCACAGTTTTACAAATCCAGAGGTTGCAATATCAAGAGAACTAGACAGAATTAAATKTTAAAGTGTCCTTCGTCTCTTTGTTCCCTACATCCATCTGCTTCTGTAAAGCCCAGTTTTGGGTCTCAGTTAATCCTAGCTGTGGAACTGTTTGATGACTGGGAAACACAAAGAGAGAGTGGGAATGGAGGTGTTGCAGATGGAAGAGAAAGAGATGCAGGCAGGTTTGAATGCACTCTATAAATTCAAGTTCCTTCTTTTTCTTTGTTTTATTTTCTCTTCTCATTGTCCCTTACAATTTTATCACAAGGTTGCTGCAAGAGAGAAGCAAAACACAAATATTACAAAACAAATACAGAACAGGTTAAGCAATTTAATGACATGTTGTTACAAACCAGCCTGTCCTGAAGAGAAAATTACTGCTTGCCTCATTTCTAGTAAAGTCCTCAGCACATTTTTTCTCACACATACGATTTTATTGCCAGGGTGTTTTATGTGAGATGTGCTCARCTTGCAAAAGTAGTTCTGAAACGTTTTTTAAATGATTACCTTGCAAAACATTCTGGGATATTTAATTGAAATGGCATCACTCTGTTTTAAAACATTGTAGTGTTAAATAAACTTGACCTGTAGCACCAAAGCACTCATTTTTCCCCAGCTACATCATACCATTGAAATGTGTATGTATGTGTAGAATACCCTGACTTTTCCAGCTGAAAAACTAGAGCAAGCCCCCATCAGAAAATAATGACACTGCCACCTTTCCTCTTATCGCTGAAACTAATGGAGGAAGAGGCTTTGGGAAAGAAGTGGCCTCATCTCAATCACTGATGGAAAATGAGATTGAACGAGTCAGGTATTTTAAGTATAGAATTGTGCCCTGAGTCCAGATCCCACTTCTGCAGTTACAGAGCTCTGCCAACAGCCCCAGCTGGCAGCCAGCTCTGCCTGCTCATGTTCTGGGGAGCAGGAGGGAAGGAGTGGAGCAGGGGGATCGCACCAGGAATGTGGGGTCAGGGCCATGGGCAGCAAGGGGAGAATGCTCCCAGCAAGACACGGGGCAACCCAGGAGCACTCASCATTGCCCAGCCAGTGTGGATGGTCTCCAGCTCACCCTGCCCCTCAAAGGGGCTGCGAACRTCTCCAGTTGCCTGCCAGGGGCCGTGTTACCTCTGCAAAGCTCAGGAGGGCAGAGCCACTCATGCCTTCCCTCCCTTCAGACTCGGAGGGCTGTTCCTCCTTTGGCACCAATTTTTTTGGAGTCAGAATTAAAGAAGAAAAAAGTAATGAAGTTATCCAAATTGCATAATTGTCCTGTATGTGTGAGGACCAATAAAACTATTAGCTGCTGGCATCAAGCCAAGAATCCATTAATGACAAACTGGTATCTCTCCAGGAATGTAAAATGTTTTACTGAATAAACACTGAAATCAGAAAGCTTTGGACTTCTGTCACTAGGTAAAACTTCATTGTGACTATTGGAAGGAGGGACAGCCAGGAGGTACGCAAGGAAACTTTGTTACACTGATAAAAAGCTATTTAGCACCAGCAGGAGTCGGYGGGGTGTGTTTTACAGGGGTTTGCAAAGTCCGATGAATGAAGATCGATACTTTCATGGGATCAACACGCTGACTAGATGGAAAGGAAAGAAGACMGTGGTATGTGCAGGCAGAAAGTTTCATCATGAAGGATGATACTCAGAAATCAGCTCACTTAATTTTTTTCCTTTTCCTATGTGGCATCACTGTGCTRTTATTTATGGTTTTCCAGTGAAAGAGTCTTGAAAACTGGAAATACAGACATTTAAATACCCCCAAGACACAGAAAACCAGGAAAGTGGTCACAGTACCAGCCTGACAGAGTTCAAGAAACATTTGGACAGTGCTTTCAGGCACATGCTGTGACTTTTGGGGTGTCACGTGCAGGGCCAGGAGCTGGACTTGATGATCCTGATGGGTCCCTTCCAACTCAGGTTATTCTACACTTCTATGACAGCCAAGACACAGAAAGAATTCACCTCTTGGAATTCATAAGGAAATGAGAAAGCATTGTTATATGGCTACTTCCAGGTTATGCTATTGGAAGGATTATGGTRTACAGAAGGTGGGATGCAGGTGGGAAGTCATTGATAATGACTTAAATACAGGGAGCCAAAGACAAAAACATGTGACAGGAAATTGTGAAGGCTTTCAGTGGCAAGACCCTTGCAAGAAATCCTGTGTCTCTTAAATTCATGCAGAGACAGTCATTGAAGGGAAGTAGTCAAAATGCATATGCTGCCAGATAGAGCATTGCATAGAGCTAAGAGAGACGAGTGTGTATTGTGAGGGTCAGCGTAAACAATCATCATCCTTCTTGGAAAGAGGGCAGGATATCCCCCAGAACCTGAAATCTGTGGTGACAATACTGGGTGTGGCCTCAGTGGGGCACCCAGCTCCAGGAGTCCCACCCAGGTGTTTCATAGTCTGCACAATTTTGTCTTCAGAGAGCCTGTGGAGCTTTTCCTGCCCTGCAGCCTAGGAGACAATTTGTCTGTTTGGCAACTGGTGCCCCAAATATACACAAACTCTTCCATCCMGGTTGTCCCCAAGGAAGTGACCTCTGTGGTGAGTTCAGAGCCCCAACCAAACTTTTAGAATCCCAGCCATCAGATCTCAGATCCTCAGATCTGAAACTGTTCCTGCAGCCTTGAAAAATCTTCTTATGTCTATGGTTCCTATCGTGTACAGAAGAAAAATCTTGCAATTCATATTTTTATGCCAAATAGTCTTGGCCTTTCCATGCAAACCTGAAATTCTACTTTACAGAAATCAGTCTGAGGCTGAAGCATGTGGACATGATCTCAGTAGCAGACTGTGTATGAAAAGCACCCATGGCACCCTTCCATCCAGCTTCCAAAGCCAGCACAAGAGTCTGTCTGGGAGAGTCCTCAACACACAAGAAGGCAGAAGGAGCAAGTCTGCTAGAGCAAATGCAGCTTGCCATCCCCAAAGGCAGCTTGCTTCTGCCAGGGCGAGCGCAGGAGCTACTGCTTGAACAGAAGCTGAGGGGCAGGGAATTGTAGGGATTGTGGGGAGGCAGGACGGAAAAGATTCAGAGGGAGAGTAGAGCATAGGTCAAATCCTGTGGCAATTGAAATTCCCAGCTGCAGGGTGCAGATCATTTTGGTGCATTTTGGGCTACAGGCAGGGGTCAGCTGAATGCTGACATTCTGTGCTTGAAATTTTACTCCCCCATTTGCTCTCTGTTGGTTTTTACACAGGATGCTCATCTCTACAGACATGTACCAATTGGCTTGACTACAGCTACATCCATGAGGAAGAAAATGGTTTAGAGCCAGGTCCTCAGCTGGAGTAAATCAAGCAGATGTRGACTCAGGCCAATTGAGACCATGCGTGAGATCTCCCAGTTTCTCCTCTCAAACTGTTATATTAACCTAAACAGAAGATACAGTAGCTCCCTATCTTTGCCTTGCTTTTGCACACTGACATTTTGTCCAACTTCACATGCCAGGGTAAATATAAGGATGKTGATCACATGAAAATTGTATCCAAATTGTCAGTGACTCACCAGCTCAGAAAATTTTCAGGAAATACAGGGATAGTTGTCACCACTCACTGTTTTAGGAAAGCAGAAGCATAATCCATGAGATCCCGCATAAATGTCAGACCTGAAAGGTCTTTATAACTCTACACCTCAGTGTACAGGGGTAAGAGCTGGCCCCGCAGGTGCAAGAGGATCTGAGCAGCCCTGCCCAGGAGCTGCATCTCTTGAAGCTCAGTGTGAAAGATGCTGCTGCCCCACAGGGCACTGCCCCCTGATGCTGGAATGAGAAAGCAAAGACCCAGCAGTTCCCTCTTGCTGGGATTTCTTCAGGATGCCACCATGCCACGTTGAGCCACCTGAAGGCTGCTGTCACTTGTTTGGYAATATTTGCAGAGCTTGGTGGGCTCTGTGAGGTGTTGGTAGGAGGTGTGTTACTTCAGCCTTTTCCATTAGTACACCAGTGTGAAAGGGACCATTATACTGCTCAATTCAGAAATACAAAAGGATCTCTCAGCATCCTGGGCACCCTCCAAGGTCAGGCAAACCAGCCAGAGAGGTGCTTTACATAAGGAGACAAAAGCTTCAAGCAGCCTTTGCATCACTGTAGGTCTTGTCCTGGAAATGCAAGAAGAGCCATGAGTGCTCCATGACACCATGGGTTTGTCCTGGGACAAACCATGGGCACTCCCATCACCTGCAGTGCCCAGAGGGGCACTCCACACCCCAGCCCATTCCWCTGAGACTGTTTAAATTGGCTCTTACACCATTTTGAGAACTCAGGTGTGCTGCATGAAATGCAGCAGCTCTATACATGGCTTAAAGCCCACCCCAGGCCCTCGGCACAGATTCCTTTGCACCCATCTTTCAGTGAGAAAAAGGTTGTAGATAAAAAAGATACTGGTTTGGTTTTTTTTGTCCCCTCCAACAGCTTGGAAATAGTACACAAGTATGCATTGACCTGGGGTTCCCAACTCCATGGAGATAATCCCTGTGTACAGCCCATCTAACAAACTGATGAACAATGACTTYGGCACACCAAGGTGGCCAGTGACTTGCTGGTCTGCAGCACTCAGGGGAGGCTCTTTGGTTTCCACGTCTGGGCCAAACTCTCACATTTGTGTGACCTTTAAAAATTAGAGGAACTTTCCATGAAATACACAGGCAGCCAAATATTTAGGTCTGCAGAGTTACTGTGGRACATTACTTACTTATCACAAACACAAAACTCAGGAGAGACAGAGCTGTCCAAAATTCAGATAGTATGTCAACTCTTCACATTAATGCTCTTTCTCTATTATTAAACAGAAACCTTATATTTCTCCAAGAATTTTGTCWGAGCCTGGGTTTGATAGGAATATATATCCAGCTCCATCATCCCAAGGAATTGATCAGGGCCCTCCTACAGCATCTCTGTGCCCTAATTCCAGACAGTCCTCTCCCTACAAAAGCCGCTCTTCCTCCTGTCACAACGCTGCTAAGCACCACTCCTCCATAAAGGTCATGGAGATCAAAGCCTGGGTTTCCTTGCTGGGTCAATAACAACACATGCACCTCACTCACTGCACCACCCACTGTGGCCACATCAAGACTGCCACCAGCTGCTCTGTGGTCACCTTTGGACAGCTTCCAGCAGCCACTTTATTCCCAGGGCACTTCACTGCCACACAAAGCATGCTCCACACTTTCCAACTGGGATTGCTCTTCCTCATCTGCTGCTTTCCTCCCTTTTGAACAGATGCTGTTTGCAGAGCTCAGACCTTCTTTGTGACTCTGGAACACAAACAATCATCTCACAGAGCATCTGCCTCCTCCAAGAAGTGAAAAGCTCACTCCTTCAGCTTCTCCCCATCCTGAATGGGCAACAGAGATATCTTCTGTAAGGTCCAGGAACTGGGAAGGGCAGGAAATGGAGATGGCAATGAGTTCTCTGAACACCCTCTTCTGAAGCAAAAGCCTCTCACAGTGACATTGGAGAGCCATGACCACCTCCATCAGCTACTCCAGGGCCCCCATGAAGGCCTCGGGGTGCATTTGAGCCAAAACCCAGAGCAGAGTGTTCACTACACTGAATAACAGCTGCTGTGGCTTTTTTGCTCACTCAGCATTCATGAGCAGCTCCATCTCACACATGTCCCTGGGCCTCATCACTGTTTTGAGTTTTGGTTTGATCACAAATATCCAGAACTGGGGTTGTGCTGCTGAATTGTTGCTGCTCATGTAAGTGACGTACCCTCCTCTCCCCTTCCAGAACAAATAGGAGGAATAAGAACTCTGCAATTTTTTTCTACCTGATCTTTTTAATATTTTTTTCATTTTACATTATATTGTTCATGAAATTAACATTTAAAAATCAATGGATTTTTTTTGCCCATAGAATCAGACTTTGCCATGTTTRTGCACAAAGGGGACAGGGATATGCATGGAAAATGTTGAAAATTGCAATATATAAAGGCAGAAAATGTGTTGCAATTTCCACACACTTCATTCAGGACAGCATCTGTATTTTTTTCTGTTTTCAGTCCTTATTGCAACATGAAAAACCTTTTAGAAATAGTCAGCATAATTACAGTATTTGCTATATCAAGATACATCACAGGCTGCCTGCAAAAGGGAAATGCTGAGCTGCTTCAGYCTCCACCACAGGAGCTACCTATGCCTGCCCTCAGGTCATATACATATTTCTCTGCTTCCATCAGCCTTCTAGAAGGAATCTCTTTGAATCTGTGGAACTAAAGGATGGATTGCACTACACCAGTCACATCACTTTTGGTGAATTAGGAGCCACCAGCATGCTGGGGAAAACCAATACAGCTGAGCATGGTCTCTGAGTTAGCGCTCAGCCATGCCAGGGAGGTGGGCTCAGCAGAGGGAGGCACAGTCCCTGCTTCTGGTGTCACTGTCACTTCCCAGGGAGCCCTGTGGTGCACCAGGAACCAGCASATTCACCTTCACTCGGTTCCTGCAGTGCTGAAACTGCCAGATCTGAGAGCATCCCCCCTGCTCAGTCACTCCTGCTGTGCAGGGGAACAGGCAATGATTTTGCCAGGAAAAAACAAAAAACAAACAAAAAAACAAAAAAAAACCAAACAAAAAAAAACCAAACAAACAAAAAAAAAACAAAACAAAACAAAAAAAAACCCCAAAAAAGGACACTGGGGTGAGGAACTAACTAAACTTTTAATGACATGAAAATATTTGCCTTTTTTATGAAAAATTTACATCTTTAGGGTTTTGCCTTCTCATATTTTGCTTGGCTTGAGGCATTGAAAAAATGGAGAAGGTAGAGATGAAAAATCAAGAAAGTTGTAATTTACCTCCATTCTTGTGGAAAWTTCTTTTATATCAACAGTGAAATTTCTTTCAGTGATGTTCTTTCCCCATAAAAATCTGTTTTGTTCTCCTTAGGAATATGTCTGCTCCAGTGAGGGGGCAGAGCTTTGCACCATAAAAATTGTAGTAATTTTTATGTAAAAATAAAAAAGAAAAAAAAAAAGCAGCTGGAGAAAACAGCTTTTTTGCATACCAGTCAGTCTCCATTTTTGCTATCAGCATTTTGCCAGACTAGTCTTTGGGGGCTGATGTGGTGTGAATTGAACTARCAGAACTACAAGCATTCAGTGCACCTGAAGAAAATGCAATTTTTGTATCTATGACAGTGATGATAAATTTTAAATCTGGGAACAAAGAGGGGTGACTAACCTGGAACAAGCCACAAGGGGAAGAGGGACAGGAAGGTGGAAATAGCAATGCCATCATCTCCAAAGAGCCTGAGAAAGGACAACATTCAGAGTGGTTATTAGCTGCACAAGGTTTTGAAAGTAAAACTAAGTGCAAGAGGAGTAGAATCTGCAAAAGAAAAGGCAGAGGGAAGGGTGTGAGCAGGGAGTATTGTTAGCCTGATCACAGGAGAGAAATGGTTATTTACTCACCGTGCTTGGCTGGGATGGAGCAGAGCAATGTCAGAGCCTGGATGGGTGCAAGGGAGCAGAGCAAGTGATCAGCAGGCAGGGAACAGCAGCGTTGAAAAGGATGGATCACTCCAGGGCAATGGTTTATACTTGCTTCATTATTTAAAGTAGGCTGAGGCAGGTAATTACTCATGAGTCTGACCACGAGGTATTTAACAGTTGAACCACAGAAGAAGGTGTATGCACAGCCTACCTCTGCCTGGCAGAAGGCATAAGTTGATGATTAATACAGCTTAAGTCACATCTCACTTCTCCCGTTGGCCATTGGCCAAAATGAGCCCATTTTCCTTGAGGGACAGGTCTGTCATGTACAACTCGGCTCTTGCCTTCTTAGGGACACTGTGAAATCATGCCTGCACCTTGCCAGGCCATGCAGRACCCAGGCAGAGTGGCAGCTTCTCTGTCCAAAGACACCCATGGCTCCCATCCAKCTGTTCACAGCAGCACCACAGTGAGACTGAGCAAGACATGGGCTGCAGGTGGGTGCTGCACCCAAGGGGATGCCCAGGTTCAGGGGATCCCTGGAGACTCGTGATGCAGCCCCAGAGTCAGGGGCTGGTGCCTGGAAGAAATGCTGCATCCTGAGGCAGCACAGGCTATGTTCTCCCTGGGGCCAGGAGAGGACAGAAGGTGTGGTCATCCAGCCCAAAAGCAGCCCAGACTGTTTGCATATATTGGTTTGTCCACATGCAGTTGTAGATGTAGAGCTCAGCAATAGCTTTTTTTTTTTTTTTTTCAGTTGCACTATGCTCATTGTGATAACAGGAGCCTTAATTTTGAACAGCACTATGAAATCAGTGAAATAGATGTATGTATTATCTGATACTCAATACCAGGAATGACCTGTCTTTTATGTCCTCTCACTGTTCTGGTAGAAGCCTACCAGAATGCAGGACACATGTTTTCCAACTCAATAGCAGGTAACCAGCTGGAGAAATGTGTTTCCCTGAATTATAGCCATATGCTATGTATCCCACTTCAACATATCATATCATGTTCCATCTGCACAGAATTTGACACTGCATAAAACAATCTGCTTTGAATTTGGATGCACATACTTCCTCACACAAAACAAAACCCTCTAGCTAAGCTATGAGTCTAAATGCCCCAGAGTTTCTGGCGAAGTTTGTGCCACAAGCAGAAAAGACCAGAACCAAAGCTGCAGGGAGGAGAAGGCATTATCTGTGGGCTGTTCCATCTGCAACAAATTCTACCTTCACATCAAGGAATTCGTCCTGGTGGTTGCTGATAGTGAGCAGAACAGAACCCAGAGAAATATTTGCAAACCCACTAGGACTACCAAGCTGTACAAAGCATAATGCACAGGACTACATCATCTTGGCTTTCTCTAAGCTGCTCTAAAACTCCCACATCTTTAACAGTGTGGTGCTTAACAGGCAGCTAGAGAGTAGATGCCTCAGCAATTTCTAATATTATAGCTCTCAGAATTACAGAAAAATTCTGAAAAAAATGTAATGCATGTTGAAGACAGCTCCTCCTTGCACAGGCCATCTGCTATGCCAAATCAATGAGGCAACATGGAATGTKTTTTGTTGTTTTTCAAGTAAATGTGAATGCTTTCAAATTGTTTGCCACACWTCTAATGGCCTCAAGTCAATCCCATCTTTCTTGCCCTCTTTGGCATTCATCTTAACATAAAGAAGTCCGTTCTTCCTGAGATAAAATGTGAAGTCAGAAATACTTGAGGAGTCCTAAAATGATGAACACTTCTTCTACAATTCCTCTTTGTCTCTCAAAACCTTTCAGCCAGACCTACAGTAGATGCTTAATGTTTCATGGCTCTGCTGCCTGTTTTGTCAGTCAAGAATTCTGTCTCCCAGCAGAACAGGCTTTGGCAGAGSTACATCCCAGGTTAAATAGGTTTTTAGATTCTAGTCTAAAAGAACAAAAAGAAAGAGCAGCTGAATGATAGCRAAGAGTCAGTACAAATTCAGCGCTGTTAATGAAAATATTCTGTTTGTAGGGTATTGACAAAAAGGGACAGGAGTATGTTTTACCGAATTCCAGCCCTAGATGATTATAGTAATTTGCTTCCCTTTAAAACAACAAAGCAAACAAACATTTGGGAGCTTGGRTCATACTGGATGCTCATCTTCACTAATCAAAGTTGTATGTGAAGGAGTTGATGAGCAGGTATGCTGTACTCAGTTCACAGCTGTGCCAAGGGTCTGCTGACACACCCAAGAATTGATTCCCCTCATGGCTGCAGAGTTTCTGGTTCAAGATGGACCAGACATTCCATTGCTTTTATTTGTCTGGTCACAGTAAAATTCAAAACTCCTCTCCAGAGATTCACATCTGAAACAGTATGAAATAAATGACAAAAACCCAGCAATACTAGATTAAAACCCTTGAGGATATAAAACCCAGTTTCTGAAAAGTATTTCGGACTCAGCTGTAGGACACAGCTGGCTGCAGAACATCTGCTGGAAGGTGCAGATAACTGGTTTTAGGCTAATTGAGGTCTGTGAGTTTCTTGACCAGAATTGGCATCAACAGYAAATTGTGCCCAGTGAATTCACAGAAGCACATTTTTGTCATGCTATGACCCATTGTTTGGCTTATGATGGCAACAAGAGACTCATCCAGTGCAGGACTCCATCAGAGTGGGAGTGAACAAAGGGACTCCCTCATTCTGCAGCATTCATCTGGCTGCATTAAACAGAATGCCTCATATGAAGCAATGACAGCAATTTATTCCACTCTGCTCACTGCTAATGACATCCCAGAAGGCATAYTGTCCAGTTTAGGTGCTACCCTAGGCATCACAATCAATCCCTTTTTTCCCATTTCAAGAGCAAAGTTCAGATCTGTGTGTCTCAAGGGACATAACTGCAGATGAGTGCATAACAGTTTTCAGTTCTCCCCGGTCTCAGGCAGCTCATGATGAAAAGATCTCAGGCACTGTGGCACTGCAGAGTTCTCCATGCAACAGCATCCTGGGAGCTCCACTCCYTCTTCTGATGGCAAGGGACTGAGCAAAGCCCGTCTAATGTCTGAAAATATTTTTCAGAGCACAGAAAGAAACAGATGGTCCTAGTGAGTCTTGGTTATTATGCCCCAGGTCATGTTAGTCTATGGTCAGCAGACTACCAATGATCCAGAAGATGTCATAAAATTATCTGTTAGATCATAACTCCTAAAACTGGGCACAGCACTTTACCTGAGCCCTCATCAGTATAGATGTCAGAATATTTCTGACACCTAATATCCCAGTTGTTATACCCTGGAATATCCCAGGCAACTGAATCATTGAGTCATTACCTTGTATCAGAATTAATTTCACTATACAGTCCAGATTCTCTCTTGTGGAAGCATTACTAGCCAGGTTTTTTAATATTTTGCTTGGTGTTAACCTTTCTTAAGTATAATATTTTGCACTTGTTGCTATTACATTTCACTGCATTTATGTCAAACTCCCCCTTTAAGGTAGAAATATAATTTTGGTTGAGTTTCATGTTACTCTTACCAAGAAGAACATGAGGCTAATTGGATATGATTTGTTCTGGGTAAATTCACACTGGATTTTTTATCACATTATCATTCTTCAATTGCTATTATATGAAGCACTTGAATGTTTTGCAATAATTCTCAAAGCATTGGAGGTGTCTGAGACAGGTTGTCTGGTCTGTAATTCCTAGTACCTTTTAAATCTTCTCTGTGTTCTTAAATACACTTGTTAATATTTCAGAAATTCTTGTGGTTAGTTCTTTAATTACACCAGAGTAAACTTCCCCAGGACTTCCTGCTCTGAGTACATGCCCTTTATTCAAAGGTTCCTTCTCTTCTGTGAGCTGCATTTCAATTCCCTTGCTAGCTCTAAGTGTGTTCAGCCTCTCATATCAAGTGTCCCCTACTTGCAAAGGTGGTGTTTCACACTTCAGCCCACTCTGTCATTTGTCCTATGTTCAACATCCCCATTAAGTGACAATTTTTTTTTCCCTTTTTCCCAATTTCTTTTTCTGGCCCCTTTTGCACTCTTTGCACTTCGGTCCTTCTCCCTTACTCATCCCAGTAATGTCTTTGCTCACTTTTTGTATGGTGGGTTTGTGTCAATAGATAACCATGCAGTCTCTGACTCAGACCCCCTGATTTTCTCCAATGTTGTCCTCCTTGCCAGCAGGATAGGTTCCTTTAGTACCTTTAAGTAAGGATTTCTTCCAAACTGCCCATTTTCTTAAGATTCTTTCTCCTTTTGGCTCCTCCCTTCAGAACTTTCCCTACCAATTGCCTGAAGTGAGGAAATCTGCCACACAGGAGTCATTTGGTCTTGCTCGCCTCCTCCTCCACAGACACATGAGTTCAAATTGCCTTCTAACAAGTTTCTCTTTATTAATCATATCTATCATAGCTTATCTRGCCATGACTCCCATAACTGCTTTCACTGTTTAAAACAAAGAGTTGTCCAAACACATTCCAAAAACTTGAGGAACCTCTTGTGCTGTGCTGTTGGGTTGTGTTTTGTTGGTTTTTTAATTTTCTTACAGCAGATAACCTGGTTAGATAAAGTCCTTGATTACCTCATACTACTCATAACCTCAGGACACTCCCAGTAGTTGCTAAAAAATGTGACATCAACCTCCTCCTCACTCAGTAATCTTTAGTAGTTTTACAGTTTCTCTGTTTCATCTCCAGCTGGTTTTCCCCTCTCTCTGGCCTTCTATACATTCCTAATATACCAGATAATACTTTTCCTTTTTTTACTGCCTCTCCTCCATACACAAATTATACCCTCTGCTAATATTGAAGGGCYGCAGTTTATTTCACTGAGCCTGTGCGATGCTGATTAAACTGCAGCTTTTGTTGTGTCCCAAGACTTCTTGTTCTTCCTGTTTATTCTCCATACTCTTACCATTAGAGTGAAAACATCTCAGATGTTTGGCAGGTTGCCCTTACATTATCCCTTTCATTCTTCTATGGCCCTCCTGCAATTTCTCACTTCCACCATAGCAATGAGTTGTCAAACAGACCTCTGCTTTTCTTACTCACCTGAGGTCTCTCCTGYCACCCACTCAAACCCTGCTATCCTGGGAGCCTTTTCACTCATTTTGCTCTAGTAAGAAAATTCTCTCATTCTGGAGAGCTATGGTTTTTTTTTCATTGATTTAACAATGCTCCATGGGATARAGATTGTCCTTAGGGTCTTCCTAAAAAAGGGTGCAGAAAGCTGTTASTAGGAAAGCGGTCTTACCGGATAAAGATCCGCAGTCCAATTTCAGATTTCTCAGTTCCAGAGAGGGGGTGACACCACTCATAGTTTAAACAAATGCTAGTTTTGTCAAAATGCTAGCACATGGGCAAATATAAAGTCCCACACTCTGCATCAGGCTGATGTTGTCCAAAATTAGCTCTGGGTAAAACCTTGTGAGAACCCTTTCTAATTCCCAACAGCRTAATACACTAAACAGTAATGTATATTAACTAAGACAGTGGTACTTTTCAAGGCTGCAGTCATCAAGGAATAAGCAGATGATGAGCGTAGCAGGGACAATATGTTGATTCTCCTCCCTCACAATTGTGAACAGCTGGAACATCCTCAGTTTACAATGGGTCTGACACTGCAAAGAAACAAGAACAAATATTTGGAAATCTAATCACATAATATAGCTGAATGCTGACAAGAGGTCCCTGCTCTAGGGGGATATACTCCTTTATAGCACATGGCTGCTATGTGAGAGAACAAATTATACACTACTGATATCTGCTGTCCTGCTGCCCAGCCTCTGAATGATTGACAAGGGTGAAACTCAGTCACTCAACTTCCTCAGAGTTTCAGATGTGCTTCTGAAGCAAATACAAGAGGTTTTGAAGGAAGATGTTTCATACAATGTGACCAGCTCAAGTAATATTTGAGGTTAAACATTGAGTTGTTAAAAATGAACATGCTTATATTATAAATGCACTAAACAGACCAATCTCTCATCTACATGGAGATAACAAGGAGGAGGACTGGATCTGCTCTTCATGGAGGATTTCCAGCTTTTTTCCCCACAAAAAAAAAAAATCTTCAAAAATACACCCCTCCCACAAATAAATGTGAGAGGGAGTCTGTGGTCCAAAAAGGAGTTTACTTATAAAGTAAGGGCTTAAGTCCCATGCTGTTTTTTTTCATTCATGTACTCAGAATTGGTTCCAATGCATATTTATACTTCAAAGATGAGTCCGTGGTTTTCTTGTGCTTGAGCAGCACAGCCAGTGTGATGGACGAATCGTGTAACGTCTGCTGATAAGTATCTCACCATCTGCCAGACCATCTTCAGCTATCTTCTRTCCCTTGTGGTCTATTCCCACTATTTCATAGATTCTGCTCCCTCTTCTGGCCAGCAACATAATAAAAGAATTAATTTCCCCCTTTTAAGTGTGATTTTGAGCATGGGGAGTTGAGAAATGGAAATTTCATATTCCTTTGGCAAGACAAAGAGATCTGAACTGTGCATCCACTGCATTTCCATATTTGGATTTCTCTGCAACAAAGACTTTCAATATTTATAGTAAAAAAGTTGAAAAAAATAATAACAGGTATTTTTTGTTATGTTTTCAATGTTATGTTTCAAGAGAGAGGAAGGAAAGTGCAAGGAAAGAAAGACCATCGATCAGCTTTGCTGTATCTATTCACTTCCCCCTCTCATCACYTTATTACTCCTTCTCAAATCTGTGCAAAAGAATATTGCAGACCTGAAAAAGGAAGTGAGCAGAAACCCCATCTTTAGGAATAGCACACTTGCCAAAATGAGCTCAGATAATATTAGCTATAGCACATAGAGCACATGCTAAAAAGGGCAGTGTTTTCTCCCTTTCAGTAGGCAAAATCCAAAAGGTGTGCCTCCAAAGCAGTTTCTAACTATTTTTGCCTTTTTTCAGATACTTTCACTTCTCTTGGAGGTTACCAACCACAGACATTTACATAAAGGGCTTTCAAACTTTTTCTGGCCAATAAAGACATCATCAAAACTTCAGCTAATATAAAAGAAGGTGCAAACTGTACATCCAAGACAGAAAAATGCTGCCTCTCTAAAAACTTTCTTTGATGGGAGTTTTCTGAGACCTCCCACAGTCGAACTTTGTCTGATGAAACTCCCCAAAGCCATGTCTGAGGCGGAGCAGAAAGGACAACTCAGTGACAGCACAGCTTGCCACCAAGTTTGTGAATAATGGGCTTGCAACAGAAGCAATATTGGTTTTTACATGGAAAGGAAATTGCATTGAAAATCAGTGCAGGGTTTTAGCCAAAGCATTGTCTGTACACACAATAATTCATCTGCTCAATAGACAGCAAAATGAAGAGATGATTCATTCAGCCTTCTCTAGCTGAGAATTTTGTAAAATTTCAGATCTCTACGTCATGTTCATTTCCAGTCGACAATGTCTCACATATCTCAATTACCTGTCCTCAGAGAGTATTTGCAGCCTGTTGGGCATCATTTGCCCATTCTTTTCCTCCTAAAGAGAGCAGATGTTTGATCCATAGCAGAAGACTGAACTGGTGTGGTCAGAACAACAACCAAAGTCCACACCAGTCAGAACTGCACATGGTGACCCTGGCTTTAAAACCAAAGCCCTTTTTAAAGCTGTCATTTCCAAATCTACTATTAGTAATGAAATTGAAACACTATCAAGTACTAGAAAGCAATATTCCTCTGGCAGTTGTTCCAGCTAAGACTGGAGTCTTCTACAGGTCTCTTAGCTGCTGCTATTCAAACATTCAGGCCCGATTCTGCACTCCTTTGTTCAAGCACAAGTCCAAGGGAGTGAAAGCTAGTCAGAGAAAAACGTGTGGGATCAGATCTTGTGATATGGAAAAAAAATTCCACTTTCCATGAAAGGAACCTTGTTTTCAAACACATTCCACAAGGTGAGCAGCTCTTTCAGACCTTCTGCATATACGATGAGGCTTTATTTTTTTCCAAGAGTGAGGCTCACAGCCCACGAGCTGCCTGTACCACCTCTGCACGCATCACTGAGAGAGGATCCTGCTCTTACTGAAACAGCTACTCATTGAATAGTTCTTCATTATCTAAGAGATAGCCAGGAAATATTTAATGAATATATTACCCATTGCATCAAAATAAATATCATTTATAAAACATTCATTGTCTTTTGCTCATCATCATACAGTGTATATTAATGACCCCAGTACAGATGAGATTTACAAACGTTTGCCTGAATTTTCCCCCTTAATGCATTCTCCCACTTACAAAAATCATTGAATAAAATGCATAAAAACATAATGCAGCTTTATGCCACTGGCATATACCAAARACGAAACTAAAGATCTCGTGAGTACAAAAAGTCTTCAGACAGGAGGAATGGCTTTAGGTACGCCTTCAAGTGGCACTTGATCCAACTCAACTCTGCAGTATTTTAGAATTAGAGCAAATATTTACTTGAGAACTCAGAATTACTTAATCAAATAATAGAACATATAAAAGCAAGCTGACTTTTTGGAAAAAAATGTTTAATAATACAATAATAGTTGTAGTATCGTCCAGTAAAGGTGTATTGTAAAAATGTTCTGAATATTAATTTACCTCAGATAACTTTAGAGTTGTAAATACTTGCATTATATTGAGGTAGACAGTAAAAAAAATTCTTTTCTCCATTATTAGCACAGAATTTAAATCTTGTAATAATATCTTAAGGAAATGATAATGTTAAGTAAGGATGAAATATTTGATTACTGCTTAATTCTGTACAACTCAAATATAAACTTTTAAAAATATTAGAAATTATAACATTTCGAGTGCATATCATGTTTTGTACATTAAAAAAGAAATGCATGTTGTTCATCTCCATTTTGCACTTTTCAGTCTGTTTAAATAAACAAATATTTACAACTTTTATATGAACAACAGTGCATCCAAAGCAAAATGTGCATTTTAAATTAATGCTCCTGATCGAGTCTTTTTATTAGCATTTTATATTATTATTCTCTTCTCTTTTTTATTTTTTTCCACAAGTTTGTAGCTCTGCAAAACCAGATAAGCCAACAATTCTAGAAATCGGTGGGGAAAAGCCTGAAACTACGAACATAATAATTACATGAAGAAAGGGCTAGGCATAGCTTCGAAGTGCACGTTCCTCGGGTGAAGCCACAGCTGAGACCAAAGGTGGGAAACAGAAATCTTACACAAAACGCCTTTCCCAGCACAACATTTGCGTATAATACTGCTGCAAGTTGCGAGGGCTGCCGAGACAGAGCTACCCAGAGACCTGGCAATGGCATCCTTGCACTCTTCGTGAGATTCGAAGGCGTTCCCTTTCCAATCCACCCCGGTTGTGCTTTAGGTAACAGTTCGCTCTTCACAGTTTTTCTTTGCTGTCTTAAAATAAAACCTAGCTGGTAATTACAATCTTAAGCAATTCTTGKKTTTTTTTTTTTTTTTTCCTCCTTTTCTCTTTATTTTCCCTTGGGGGGGAGGGAAGGAGGGGGGGCCGTAGGCTATTTCTGGCTGGTAAGCTTGCAGGAATGTGAAAGAGAGAGGGCAGAAATGAAACAGCCCTCTTCAGAGCAACTTCAGAGAGAGGGATCAGTCTGCTCCCTCTCCCTCCCCCGACTCTTTTTGTACTTGGTAAATTGCCTTCACCTTTGGAGGGAGGAGGATAGATCGCCAGATAAACCCCGGGGGAGGAGAGGGGAGCAGGGAAGGGACCGGGCGGGGGTTTCGCCGCCTGCCCGGCCCTCTCGCCCTTCCCCGCCGGCAGCCGCGGGCCGCCTCTGCCGTAGCCCCGCCGCCCCCGCGGGCAGCCGCCGCGGAACCCGGGCACCGGGCGGCCTCCCGCCCCTCGGCCGGTCCTCTCCGCCCCAGCCGCGCTCGGCCGGGCCCGGGACGGGGGCCCCGCTCGCCGCTGCCGCCGCACCTCCGCCACACGCAGACCCCGGCTGCCGCCGAGGAGCGTCCCGCCCGCTACCTGCAGCCGCAGGACTCCACCACCATGTCCTCGTACTGCTTGTACACCACGTTGTTGCCCGCGTCGATGTAGAGGATGCTGATGGGGGTCAGTTTGGTGGGGACGCAGCAGCTGGGCGGCGTGGAGCCGGGGTCCATGGAATTCATGAGGGTCTGGATGATGGCGTGGTTTGTGGGCTCCAGGTGGGAGCGCAGAGGGAAGTCGCAGACCCCCTCGCAGTGGTGGGCCTCGTATTCCAGCGGGGCGATGATCCAGTCGTCCCAGCCCAGTTCCTTGAAGTTGACGTGCAGCGGCTTCTTGCTGCAGCGCAGCCGGGACTTCTTGCCGTGCCGCTTGCCGTGCCGGCTGGCGAAGGCGGTGCGGCGCTGGCGCCGGGCCGGCGGGCGGCGGGCGGCGGGCGGCGGCGGCGGGGGTGCGCCCAGCTCGGCGCGCAGCTCCCCGAGGAGGCTCCGCCGCCGAGCGCGGGTGAAGACCACCAGCAGCGCCCGCTCCTGCGGCGGCCGCGGCCGACGGGCGAAACCCAGGCCCCGCAGGTCGAGCCAGCGCCGCGACCCGCGCTCCGCCGAGGCCCGCAGCTCCAGGCACAGCCGCTTCCAGGGCCGCTGCTCCCGCAGGCCCTGCCGCACGTCGAACACCTCCCAGGCGGAGGATGAGGCCGCCCGCGGGTCCAGGGCGCGGGAGTCCAGCGGGCGCGGCGAGAGGCAGGCGGAGAGCTGCATGTGCGGCGGGGCGGCGGGCGGCGGGCGGCCGCGGGGGGCCCGGCGGAACAGCCGCAGCTCGGCCCCCACCAGCTCCTCCGTCTCCGAGAGGGTCGACACATCAAACACATACTGCTGCCGCCTCAAGGGAGCGGGCGAGAGATCGTCTGCGAGATAAAAATAATTACAGTCAGTTGCGCTCGGGGGGATCTGCCGAGAGGTCTCTGAGGCGGGGAAGGGAGAGGAGAACCGCCAGTTTGCCCGGCCGGGGTGTCTCCTGCCCGCCTCACCCCCCACCCCCAACCGGACCGGGATCGGGGAAGGKTAGGAGGAGGAAAAAGAAGGGAATACTATGAAAAGGAAAAGGAAGAATATGGAAAGGAAAGGAAGTACGGAAGGACCCGCACCAGACAGGAGACAGCTCTCCAGCAATAGGGGCAGACCCTGCTCCACGCATATCTTCTGCCAATCAACCCCATATACACATATCTATTMTCCTCTGAGAAAAACCTGGACTTCTTTTTTGACACATCCATGCACGAAGTGCAGCGTAGAAAGCAAACCAGATTCCCCTGAGCTGCTTTCCAATAAAATGTTTACAACCCAGCAAATACAAAAATTCCCAAAGCCCCTGTGTTTCCCCAGGAGCTAGTAAAGCTTGTGTAGATTTCTATAGTAAAAGTGTCACTGGAGCCTCTGTTCAGCAGCCCCTCACCGGGTTTTCCAAACTCAGCCCGCCCCAGGTGTAGTAACAGAGACTAAAAGAAATATACTCCTGCCTGTTATTTATCGATATCAAAGGTAATTGAGATTCCTAATCAGTATGTTTCACAACCTCGGCTCTCCCTGACGGGTCTCGGGGAACCTCCTGAGGGGCAGGAGAGACAAGGAGATGATTTATGCAGACCAAAACCTTCAGACGCGCCACGGCRATGTAAAAATCAATGCGGATTAACGTGCAGTTAATCAGTGCGGATTAGCACACTCGACAGTCGCCCTGCGTCGCTGAGTGTTCCCCTAGACGTCAGCAGGGAGATGGAGCGTAGAGTGCGGCAGGGACAGCTGGAATTGCTGAGATAAAAAGCTGCCCCGTAGGCAGGCCACGGGATGTACGGCGGAGCCTGGCTTCCTGCCGAGCGCRTCCCCCTCGCCCCGCAGGAGCCGCCGCGGGAGGCCCCGCCGCCCGCCCGGACCGCGCACCCACGCGGCATCCCACGCTGCGGAGCGAGGCGCTGGCCGGGCCCGCACACCTGCCCTGCTCCCGGGGCCGGGCAGCCGGAGCTCGGCCGCGGTCCGCTCCTCGCCCGGAGCGGGGAATCAGCAAGGGAGCGGGAGTTCCCGAGCCGGAGCTTCCCCGCCTCCACGGGGCTGCGCGCCGGCGGGCGCGATGCGGGGTCGGTCCGGCCCTTCAGGCATCCTGGAGAATTCGAACCCAGGCCTTTCGCATCGCTGCCTCCGCCTACCTCTTCAGGTTTGTCTGTTTTGTCGCGGCGGGGCTGCTCCTTCCCCAGCGAGGGGCGAGAGGCAGCCCGGTCGTGCATCCCGCTCGGGGAAGGCGGAAGGAGACTCAAAAAAAAACACGCGCAGAGCCCGAAAAATGTCGTCACACTCCAAGTGACGAAAACAGCTGSTCTATCGAGCTGCTGAAAATAAAAGCGAAATCCGTCGGGAGTTGGCTAGAGGTGCTGGACAGTTTCATCAGCGCTGCAAGTGCAGACCAGGATTTGGGCCATRAGTCTGTTGTGGGTTTTGGGGCAGTGTGGGTAGTTTTCCCTTTTACAGCCATCGGGGCCAGGGGCTGAGGTGCACTTGGTTGCAGGAGGAGGGTCCAGCAGCTCAGTAAATCTCTAGATCATTGCCCCCCTCCTTCAAGGGGGTCCTGGGAGCTTCAGACAGAAGGGGATGAGCATCCCTCGGGTAAGAAAGTGCAGGTCCTCCTCCTTCTTCTCGTCTTTCCCGTCATCTTCGGGTTTTTTTCGGCGTCCGACATCTGTCAGATACCCAGGTATCCCATGGGGTGCAGACGGATCTCCTGGCCCTGCCGAGATACCTCAGACCTTCCTTCAAGGGSTCCAGCGACCGTCGAGGAAACTAGATCAGCGCCTTCCCCTGCCCCTATCCCAAGCTKCGGGGTGTGGCCAGAGCCGGGCCTGGGCACAGATTCGCTTTTAATCGCTSTCTTTAATTGCTTAGGTGATGGAGAGGAGGGTGTCACGCTTGGTTTCAAAGAAAGATAGCCGCTCTCTTTGCTACTCCCAGTCGCCATGGGGTAGGGGGTGAGGAGAGTGCTGCCTTCAGGCCRCTGTCCCTCCGGAGCAGACACTTCATACACACACTCCTTGTCCTATTCTTGGCCAGAGCCAGGCACCCCCGGATCTCCCGCATCCCTGCCGGGGTGCGGGAACAGGGCAGCACTGCTCGGCAGACTGAGCTCTCAGGCAAAAGGCAGCCCTTTCCCGAGGGATGGGGACACACGAAGGTGACAGCGCCCCTCTCCTTCCCGACGAACCATCRCGCAGGTGGCCTGGCGCTGCGCAGGGAATAGTCCCATTCGGGGGTAACATCCAGGCGTGCAGGTTAGACGGGAGGGAAGCGGGGAGAGATTGAACWGCCCGCATGTCCCCGCTGCTGAAAACGGGCTTTAAAGGGTCTGCAGACCCCTGCCACAYGGCGGTGCGGGAGGAAACAAGCTCCGGCACTGTGGGTGCCAAGAGGGCTGCTCAGGGATGCTCCTCAAGCAGCATCTTTTGATACTCCAGTTCGGCGAGAGTTTGGACGTTGTACGGCTGATCCGGGTTGCTCGGTGGCACAGGACGCTGGGGACACGGCCGATTTGCGGAGATATGTACCTTCGGTCAAGCGAATCTCTGAGATGGGTTTCAGCAGCACCGAAACTTTGTGCTGGGAAAGTCCCACTGACTCAGGCAGCTGCCGGCTCCCGTGCCTCTCTCGGGAGGGCAGGGAAAGGGGCAGGGCTGCCGCTTGTTTCAAATAAGCAGCTTTGAATCCGATCAGATAAACGCTATTTATTCACTCTTGTAACCTAATAATTCCAGATGAATACATAATCCTAAACCAGTACTGGCTCGCTCCCAGCACAGTCGAGAGGTGGGAAAAGCAGCGGAGGGCTGCACAGTCGAGAGGAGGGGAAGCGGCACCTGCAGAACCTCCACAAAACGGGGAGAGACGGGTCTAGGTTGGGGACCCTTTGTTCCAGAGGAGCTGCCGCCTTCCCAGCACACAAAGACCCGCAGCAGACACGGCGTGGTGACACTCAGGCTGTCCCTTTCTCTTCCTCTTASTAGTATACACGGACAGGGTCTTGTCCTCTTCAGTTTTTCTTTAAACACAAGGAGCGACTGGGGTGAAATCCAGGGTTTCTAATMGCCAGGGCGAGATCTGCCTTCTTGGGCGAGTTGAAGTTGTCTTTACAGATATRCCCGTTACCGAAATACTTGGTGAGAAGAGCAAAGTCATCCCAGCTGGGCTGGGGAAAGCCACATAGCAGAAAATGCAGCAGGGAGGTGTGTTTATATTTGTATTATTAATGTAGATGAATGTTAGTTACGCAGTATTAGTTCTATTTCGACTCTCCGTAGTTTATTTTTTTTTTCGGGCGAAAATAAAATATTAGGAGCGTAAGGAGGGACAGAAGAAGGGAGTAGGTCTATCTGACATATAAGGACGTGTCAGTGGCAGGAGGGAGAGAGCAGCCCTACTCCGTTCTGCCCTTCCCGAGGCACCCGGGCAGCGGCGTGCCCGGTGCTCCCGCGGGAGGGCCGGTCCCGGGGGGCTGCGCCGGGCCCCCGTCAGCTTTCCCCGACGCTTTCCTCCGAGGTGCGGTGGCTGCGGTTTTAGCATCTCCGAAGCTAAATGAATGACTGGGTTGGGACGTTTTCCTCGATTCCCTGTGTGAAGCCTCTCCCGCTTCCTGGGTCGCTTTCTCGCCTCAATCTGGGCTTTGAGGAGAGACGGGGGTTAACGAAGGCTACACAAAGTTTCTCTTTTCATGGCAGATCAGGTACTGGGCTCCCAGCCAATTCATCAGGGCTCAGATCTTAACTTTACATCACTGCAAATTATACCCAAACCACATTCAGAAGAATTTTCCCATTCCCAAATTCTCTTTCAAGCCATATTTAAACTCGCAAACCAAAAGCACATTTGCAGTTTAAAGACACTTTGCAGACACTGGCACAACAATAATCTGGAAATTAAAACATATATTGTCCCTAATTGCGAAGATCTGCCCACACGTTGTCTGCAGAGTCGCAAGGCTGACAGGTATTTCTTTCGGAGCGTTACCCAAGCTGTGGAAACAAGGGGCTGACTCTCCATGTGTGGTATTTCTCCGGGTTTCAATTCCACGTCTCCCTGCGCCTGCCTTGCCGCGGTTTTTTATTACAGCAAGTGATTAGATTTAAATGTATCGTTCGCTTCGCTATCGAGTAACCGAGAAAGACCACACCTTCCTCGGACGAATTCCCAATCCTGCCAAAAACGCTAACTAGCTGTTGGAGGGCTGTTTCCTTTTCCTTCTTTTTTTTTTTTTCCTTCTCAGAGCGGGGAAGCACCTGGCTGTGATGCACCTTTGATCACCCCTGTACCGTACCTGCTCCGGAAAGGCTGCCTGCTCTTGCCCCATTCTCCCTCTTGGCGCCACCTCCCCGCTTCCCACGAGGGACTCTCGGCCCACGGGCGCAGAGGGACCGCTGCAACACCCGCGGACATTCCGCAAAGCACCGGGCCCTCGGCTGTCGGCATCGTCCCAGAAGATGCACCGAGGCGGAGAGGAGCTTTTTTCGGGAGTTTCTACCTTCTGTAACAGACCTTAACCCAGTATCTTTCCCTTTCCCCGTGTGCAGCTGTTCCGCTACTTAGACAGAAGAGAAATAATTCCTCCGAACTTATTCGTCTTGAGAAAACCGATCTGAGTATTCCCAGTATTTGGAGCTAAGAAATGAAGCGAGGKTACGCTTTGGAGGATATTTCTGAGCGGTATTTGTGGAAGCGCTAGGATTCTGCAGCAGAGCATACAGATCTGGCCACAACSAGAAAATACTGAAAYATCCCTTTTCACCCATAAATTAGAMTTCAGGCACGGGAGGACTCCTAACCTCAGTTTCAGCCTGCTCCAAAATCTCAAAGAAAGGAGGGTTTTCTGCCATCGACTGTTTTGGCGTTTTTTTCTACTAGGGAGGGAAGGGTAAAAGAGGAGGGCGAGGCGCCCCGCTGCCGTGCCCAGCGCGAGTGGCCCCGGCCTGCGCCGGATTTTCTCCCCGCGGGCCGCCCGGCTGCCGGTTGGGGCCAGCCCAGCTGCGGTACAGCATCTCCCCGCGGGCGGCGGAAACTCCACAGCTCCGAGGCGGAGAACTCGGTCCTCCGTCCCCCTCGCCTTCCAACCCCCCCACCTCCCAAAAAAAAAAAAAAAAATCAAACGCAGCCTCTTAACAAGCCCCGTAGGAGGGTTTCGATATTAAAAAAATAATAATAAATAAAACGAAAAAATAATGAGGACAAGGTCCAAAATGAGCCACCGGAATGGTTTGATAGGCGTTAACTACTGGTCCCGTTAGTAGAGCGGCTCCGCGGCCGCGCACCGCCCCGCCGAGCTGCCTGATCCATGGAGCTCCCGGTGCCGCTTCCCCGGACCGCCCTCCCGTCCCGCGGTGCGGCGTGCGCGAGCCCCYGCGCCTTCTCAAGGGACAGCAAACAAACGAAAGATAAATTTAAAAAAATACTCTCCGCGCCGACAGCTCCGATTTTCACTTAGAAGAGGCGAGAGGTGCATCCGCAGCCGCCGAGGGGACGCTGCTYTCCGCTCCGCCTGAGCCCCGGCCCCGCTCCCTCCCACGGCTCCCGTAGCGCGGTGGGCAAAGCACCAACCCCCAAAACACCGCCCGGCACAGGCACAGCGGAGCCGCTGCCCGCGCCCCGCCCGCCCCCGAGCCACCGACTGGCTCCGCGGGCGCGGAGACCCCGCCGGGCCGGGCCGGGCCGGGCCGCTCGCTCCTTTCCCGGGTGCACGGCGGGGATAAGGAGCGGCAGCTCGCTGCCGCGCTCCGGCCGTCTGGTCTGCATTAGTGTTTTTATAAGGGGCTCAAACAAATCGAATACAAGGTCACCAAATAATTAACAGTTGTGAATTCCCTCCTTCCCCATTAAAATACTTCCCTGTTTATATTTCATTTTCCTCCTGCCAACGACAACACTGCCTGGGCAAAGGCGCTGCACAGATTACACTGCATTGCAGCTTTCGGTCCACCCAGAAACCCGCTGTTTTGCATAAATATGTTGTACTAGATGAACTTCAAGTGGGATTTACGCTCTTTCTTCTGGCACATGGACAGCCGGGTCATTTTCAGTTTCTGTACACGGGATCCCCCTTTCGTTTTAGCCCTCTATTCACCACTCTCACGACCCTCATGGCAAGAGCAAAATAACGATGTTCGGATCCCTGCCCATCCGAATCAGCTGCGTCCAAATGGAGCGCAAAGCTGCATAAAGAAAACGAGGAAGGGAAAATGAGACGATCTCGATCTATTTCGATTTCCCCGTCCCTTAGGCGCGGACCGCAACATTTCGTATGCGGAGCCCTGCTGTGGTTCCGGTGCTACGGGCAGCTCTGCAGACACAAAAGGGAAAGGCGAGGACCGCTCGCAGCAGCCGGCCCTCGTGGCACTCCCTTCCCACGGGACATCCTTTCGAAAATCGCGCTCCCTYGAGCCCTGGCTATTTCTTTTCTTGTTTTCGATTTGTTCCCAGCCGTGCCGCGTTTCTTGCTAGCTGTGAGATTGCTTGTTTATAGCTCCCTTCTCCAGCTCCCTCCCGCTCTCTCCTTTTTTTTTTTTTTTTTTTTTTTTTTCTTCTTTTTTTTTCCCCTGCCTGGTGGAGTCCTTGCAGCTCCTAATTGTCCTGCGTTACTGTGGAGCTCCAATGCTGGGGGTCCTGAGGCCAGTGAGAGCACCATCTGCGTTTTAATGAGTTACTTCATGTGCCAACAGTAATTTTCCTACATTCAGCTAGGTCCTGTCTGATCTTGCGACCGTAACAAGGGGGAGCGAGTGGGGGGCGGGAGGGGGTGGAGAAGGGGGAATCGCAARCCCTTTGCCCCCTTTCTGCTCTCTTTTTCTACCGACGGGGAAAAATTGTATCTATATTAAGCAGTAGTATGGCTTCACTCCTTCTCGAGTTACCCTGAAAACGATCTTATTAGCTGCAAGAGGGAAGGGAAGAAAYGAGGCGAAGGGAAGCGGCTGTCGGTGTCCGCACCGAAGCGCTCTGCCCCGCAGCCTCGGAGAGGGGTGGGACGGGCGGGTTTGGACTGCTGCGGACGGGAGCTGCTGCCGGACAGAGCCGGCGGGGCGGCYGGACGCTCTCACGGACACGCAGGCACAGCAGCCCGCCTCACATACGGGAGGGGTATTTCTCAGCAAGAATAAAAGTTGTTTCGCACTCCTCTGCGGGCTRCTGTGCCCCCGAAATGCTGCCATGCAGGATGGCGTGCGGCGGGTGGGACGGCCACCGTCATATCCCCCCCGGAGCTGACGCACAGGTAGAGAGSAGCGCATCTAATTGGGTCAATTTGGGCAGCTATATTGTCTGCAAATGAATTGACAGAATCTCTGCCCCCCCTTTCCCCGCTTTTCCTGAGCAAAGACTGTTCATCATCAGCACAACTCCAGCTCGCCAATTAACTGGGCTAGGAGCCCACGGGGAGGTGGGCAGTAAAACAGCTACCACTTCAGAGGAACGGAAGCTCTCTTGAAGTTTTTTGGTGATGTGCCATTGGCTGGTCCACTTCATTATGGGAGACTAGACAATATTTGATATGTTATGACATGAACACTCAATTAGATCACTGAGTTGAAATACTCCAATCAGTGGCTTGATGCTAAGCAACCCTCAGAAGGTCCAGCAGAAGGTCACAGCCTGTGACACATCAAATCAAAATCAATGGGGAAAAGTGAGGCTTTTCCTTAATCAAACCAGGACTTCTGTTAGCAAATCACTTCCCCCGCAGTAAAATCTCACATGCAGCGAGATGAGCTAAATTTGTTAAATTAACTGTCTTTCTTCTGGTTATCAAGAATAAGATGATATCGAGTGCGGCTCCATTTCCTGCGGCCCGCAGAATTAGCACCCCGTTTCCTCTCCGTCAGGGGGAGCGGTCCAGCTCCTTTCTGACCGCTGAGTTTTCGAAACCGTATTTCCAGAAAGCGAGTCCTCTTCCCCCCACCCCCGCTTTTAACAGCGACGAAGAAAACAACCCMCATAAGGCGAAGGCGGAGAGCAAAACCCCGTGTCCCCTTTCTCCTCGAAAACGTCTGCGCGCTTCCGACTGCGAGGGGCACATACTGTGGATGCTTCCACGCATTCTCCCGAGCCCAGAGGGGCGCGACGGGCACCAAGGCGGGAGGCGAAGAGCTTTGCCGAGCTCCCTCCGCGGGAAAGAAGCCCGCAGAGCCAGGGGTAGCGAGGGGGCAAGGGGCTGAGCCTTGGGTGCCGTGGGCGGGGAGAGGCTTCCGGCTCGGGGAGGCGGTGAGGAGGGTCCTTTGGGGTTCGGTTCGGTTTGGTGTGGAGCGATCGGCTCCTGTAGCTCCAGGGAGCCGTGTGATTTTCCCGGCGCTCTGTTTTGCCCTAAAACGRCTGGGACACGGCGGGAGAAAGGCGAGCTGCCCCGGCTCTCGGCAGCGGCGGGACGGCTCTGCCAGCCGCCGGCAGGTACACCAGTGCCCGGGGAGGCGCGGACYGAGGGGAGGGTCTTCAGATCTGGGAGAGGGGGAGGAACGAAAGCAATCTTCATGAAGAACTTTTTAATTAATCTGTTCTTGATGGCTCACAACCAGGGTAACGAAAAAAAGACGGTGGGGAAAAGGGGAAGAAGGAGTGTTTCCATGGAAGGAAGATTTTACTCTGAATCGACGAGAAACGTGCACCCGTGGCCCCAGGTCCGAGCTATACGATGATGAGAGAAAAGCAAAGAAAGGCCAGGGTGCAGTTCACGAAGGGGTCCCGGTAGCCCCGCGGCACCGCTGCTGCCCGGGAAGAACGAGGGCAAGGTCTGCGGCCCGGGGTAGCGGGCGCCGCTGCCAGTCYCGGTCCGGGGGTAGGTGAGGACCGACCCGCACACGGCTCAAAGGATGCGGCCCCGGAGCAGACGCCAAGCCCGGCCGCCCCTCGGTGAGTTCCGGGGCCGGGAGGTACCTGGGCTGCACGCTACCCCCCGCAAGCGGAGCCGGACAGTCCCAGTCCCAGCGCTCTCGGACGGGGCCGGGGCTCTTCCAGGTAACCCCGATAACGCGACCYGAGACGCGAGCAGCCTCGGGGAGCAGATATTTGCCCTAGGTCAGTTTAAACTTTGTTTCTGCCGTGCAGCTGTGGCGATAAGAGCCGCCCTTTCTCTGGCGGATGGAAAGAAACCAGAAGAACGATATTTAAATTTTTTTTCAAGGTCGAATTTACACCGAAAGTCCGCCTGCAAAGCTGGGGCGTGCTTTCCACCACCCCATGACGATTCGGGGAGGAACACGCTTGTTTCTCGCACGCAGCACATAGGGCTGCCGAGGCTCGGGTTTAGTGCCGCGGGGCCGTTTGCTTTGAGATAAAACAAGGCGACTCTCAATTTACCGAAAGATGGGCACTTTCCTGCAATATCGTGGCGGGGAACAGCACCGGTGACCACTGTAGCGCGCTCCCCACCTCCCCAGCACCAGGCTCCGCGGGACGGCAGCCTCGTACCGTGGAGCGCCGCCGGAAAGAGCACCCACAGCCCCGGGGGACAGAGAGGGGCGGGGGGGGGGCAGAACTTACCTTGTCCCCTGTCTACAAAACTAGTGATGGTGTTGGCAGATTTGGACGACTGAAAAAAGCTGGCGTTGATGCCCAGTTTCTCCGCGATAGAGTAAGTCCTGAACAGAGACAGCATGTACTCGTGAGGTTCCGCCCGTGGGAGCGCCCGGCCCATGGCGTGTCCCCCTTGCCGCGGGCGGTTCTCGCGTGGGGACCGCGGCACTCTGCGGCTGCGACCACCTTTGGAGGAGGCGGCGAGCTCGGAGGCGGCAGGGAGGGAAGCCGGGAGGCAGCAAGGTAAATCCCAGAGGAGGCTGGCGAGCAAGGCGGCGGAGAGCAGGGCCCGGCGCGCATTCATAGCGAGAGGCGGCGGCGGTGGGGAGGAAGAGGAGGGCGGCCCGACSTGCGGCTCCGGCGGCCCACGGAGCGGCGCGGGGACTGCGCAGCGGCGTGGCGCGGAGCGGCGACTGCACCCGGGCGGGCTCGGCCCGCAGCCGCCCGCCCCGCCCCGCGGGTACCGCCCCGCCGCGCACCGCCCTGTGGGGGCACCCAGCCCGCCCCGCGGGGCGGTCCGCGGCGAAACGGGACACCCCGTGCTCGGGTGCTCGGGGGTCCCTTTGCTCCCTCCTCGCTGTGAACTCCACTCGGGAAGGGACGCGAGAGCCGGAGAATGATGCCGCGCGTCTTACTGCCACCTCTCGGGTACCGCTTCTCATCMACCTACCGATGCTGTCGTGCGTTCAGGTGCCTCACAGGTTCTCCGGCTTTGGGTGTGGGCAGACCCGTGCGATGCTAATTATTTCACTTGAGGCTCTCTGTATTCCCGTGGCTATGTGCCCGGGAACTTGGCACAAAACAGGGGTCTTACAAGCAGGAAAATTTGGTGGAAAGCAAGGGTCTCACTGAGGGCACTCAGATGTGCCAGGGACCATCTAGCTGGCAGCCTTGAGGCAGGCCCTGCCACCCATCAGAGAAGGAATAGAACGAATAAAAAGAGCCAGAGACCATTCTCCTTACCTCAAAAGCTGCAGATCAACCACCAAGAGGGGAGCAGCCCAAGTGAAGCACAGTGCCAGGCTGGGGTTTAGCAAAAGGCAATGCTGGGCACTGCTGGGCACTACTGGGCAGGCAGCACTGTCAGGATAATCAAGGTAGCAAGGGGCAGGCAGGAAAGATTCCTCAAAGTGTGGCATGTCCTCTTGTCCTGGTCATGCAAAAGACAGCAGTGGAGCAGAAGTACAAGGATTCAGAAATTCACCCACCCCTTTTCATCTGGCTTTACAGAGGTGAATCCTGCAGCACAAAACCGGTGTCAGTTCTCCAATGGTTCCACCCAACCACCTGTCTTAGGCTCAAAGCCATGGACAAAGCATTGTAACATGTTTGCATTACCCTACCTGTCCTGGTCACTACTTCTTCATCTTCTCATCCTCCTGCCTGGCACTGCTGCTGTAAAAAGCACCTTCCTCCACTTCCTCATGTGGCTTTTCTCTGCCCTGTGCTGAGCTTTCCTCCTTTCCTGTCCTGATCTCCCTCTGTCCACTTCTTCCTACCTCTCCTATCTGCCCCAGCTCCACCACTGGTGGATTTTTTTCTTATTGTAGTAAGAGGTCACGTGTGTTCAGCTGTGAAACCTTGGTCCATAATAAATAACGGGAATCTGGCATCCATCCCACATTGTATCAGAATTCTCTGGCCGTGCTCCTCCATCAGCTGCTGTTCTTCATGCAGTCATRCACCTGACTTGTCTTTTTCTTCCCTATTCTCATTTCTGCCAAGAGAGAGCAACTCRTGCCTGGGATTTTGGCACCATGCCCGGTTCAGCACAGGATCACTGAGTCGAGGCACACCCTGGCAGGGCATATGGAGCAGGTTTCGAGCCTGGCACATCCCAGTTTGCCTGTAGCATGCTTAGTCCCACTGGGTTCCCATCTCTTATGGAGAGAGAGGGATGATAAGGATCATAAAGGGAACATTCAAAGCTGGTGGTGGGCTTAGGTTCCAAGTGAACCTGGCTGCARTTCTGCCAGCAAAAMAGGTAATCCCAAGACAGGAGCTCASACTGTCCYGCAGCCCTCCACACATGAYTTGRARAGCTCCCTGGTGTGGTTTTGGTCCATGCCAGCTAGCACTCTCCCAGTCAATGCCCAAGCCTGTTACAAGTCATGTTTTGTGCCAGGGGCTGTCCCTAGATGGCCATTTGGATGTGACCATGTGGATGTGGGACACATCGTACAGCTGGGATTAGAGAACGGGGCCCGTCATTGCCTTGGCTTCTTTTTAGCAGGATGGATGTACTGTGAGGAGCTGGCAGATGAACTGTGAAGAGACAGGGCTGCAAAAAAGTATCAATGACAGTGCAGAAATGAGGCAAGTGTTCTGCAAAACCAATTCCCACTTCATTCAGTCCTGTTTCTTCACCCCCTTTTATTTATTGCTCTTTCACTCCTCCTGCCTATCCTTTGGCTTCACAGACACCCTCCTGACCACTATCCTCCCCTTTCATCAGCTGCTTTGTGCACTGGAACTGTCCTCCCTCCTCCTGTCCCTTTGGCTTCACTTTTCTGATGCCTCACTTTTGTTRCTTCTGCTCCCCTTAGCCACTCCCATCCTTTCTGCTCTGTAATTAGCATTTTGGCTATTTTTTTCTTGCCATGACCCAGTTCCTTCTGGAGACTTATCATCACTTATTTGTTTCCTTCTGCCGCTTTTGTGTCCTATTCACTTATTCCATGCTCCTGCCGGCTATCTCCAATCAGCTGCCCAGCTCCAGTTTCTCCTCCGTCAACTTCTGCCCAACCCTAGCCCCTCAGGCTCTTTCTTTTCTCTCCTGCTGTATTTCATTGTCCTATTTTTCTTCTCTGATATTGTTCCCACTTCCCACATCCCCTCCTTGTGGTCCCAAATGCTGCTGCTGCACAGATGCCCTTTCCCACTCTCACTCCATTGGTTTCCAGGATCCTCTCATTGCTCCCGGAGTGTCTGTTCCCTTCCTGCCTTTGTCTCTCGGTCTGTCTCTYCTCTTCCCTCTTTGTTCTCGTTTTTTTTTCTCCCTTGGCCTCCTCCTCTCCCAAGGGAAGGTGGTTTCATACTAATGCAAAGCTGCAAGGTCTCCAGAGCAACTTCAACCAGCCTGATTTAGTTTCAACCTGCTGAATTTACATGTTTTAACGCATTCTCTAAAATCGACTTGGGTGGCTGCTTTGCACTGTCATTTCTTTATCAGAGGCCAGACTTGAAGCCCTCAGCAGCCGACAGGGACCTTTCCTGTGGCCCTTGTGACYTTTCTGGCAGTGTGGAGGCTGAGGGCCTGCTGAGGCTCCCCTGGGTGCACCCCAAGTCAGGGTTGCTCACCAGGTGATGGTGAACACAGGCAGCAGGAGCAGCCTAAAGGAGGCAGTGCTGCTTTCCAGCCTGTTTCTCAAAGCATGGGGCTGCTCAGGTGTCCCCTTGCCGTTTTGGGAGACAATGCCATTGTTCAAAACAGCCAATTGCCAAGACAGTCACTCACGGGAATGACAGAGCAGGGAACTGTGGGGGCACAGCGATTGGTGCCTTATGGAGCTWCAAAGTCAGGTCGCTGCAAGGGACTTGAATWTMCTGGACCATCTTGAGAAGCTTTGTRTTTGACTGTCAGTGAGAAAACTGWGTGGAACTAAAAGCAGGAGTGGGTACTTGGTGGGGCAGCATGGAAATGCATCAGTGCGAGTAAAACACTTGGGATCCCCGCTTCAGTGCATKGCAAAGGGTGTCATAATGGCAGCAACAATAAAAAGAGTGAAATAATAGCAGCCATCAGAATAGAAGAATAGCTTTTAAAAAATTATTTCCTTTCCGGTTTTCTCAACAATGAAAGTTGGCCAGATTTCCGTTTATAATTGCATTATACATATTTTGTAACAATTTTTTTTATTTCAAATATGTTTCTCCGAGCTAAAGCAATTTGGAGACTGCAATAGTGCAGTTTTAAAACCCATTTCATTAATTTCCTTGCACTAGTTCACATAGTTTTCACATCTTTCACATTTTTTTCTTTCTGTGAATTTGCTGTTCTCGGGAAAAGAAAAATTGATAGAGGCAAATTTGAAAGTCAGGAAGTAGTCCAAAACAAATGTGATTTTTTTCATCTGGAAGTTTAATGGAAATTTCTCTTGCTATAAACATAACATGAGCAGAGATGTTGGGGRAGAATGTTAGAGGTTAAAATTCATCCCTGCAAGTGGTCAAGACAAGACATGAGCATCATTGATTTCATCTCTGGTTTGTGGCCATTTGTAAGACTTACTGTGCTGCCTCAGGGACATTAATACAGTGATGATCAGTTTTTAGACATTCCTTCTTAGTATTTTTTTTTATTTTGTAATTTTTTTTTAATTGTGGGGTAGTTTTTTTTTTTTTTTTTTATCTAGATTGATTGGTTTAACATAAATGATCTATTGTGGGACTTTTATTTCTGTGAACTAAAATTTTATTAGGATGACTAGAAAATGCACCCCCTCAAACTATGGSGTTTTCCCCCCTTTAGCACAATAGTCTCCGAAAAGGCCGTGGTTACACCACATAATTAGGGGGTCAGCACATCCATTAGTGCAACATTTTCTGAAATGCCAGTGTAGTCCTTGTGTGCTGGTTTTCAGCAAAATACCAGCCTCCCTAAGCCTTGGCTTTGAAAATGGAAATTGTCTTTCAAGGGCYCTTGGTTCTGAGGCATTAAATTTTCATCCTTTTAGCCTCAGCATTTTTAGCACCTCTACTCTTTTCTGCAGTGCTTCTGAAAAGGTTGGTTTTCAGTGCTTTGTATTGGCAGGAACATCTACTTTTCAGTAGGTATGTTTTGACCCAGGAATTGTTTTCCTTTTCCCAGATGGATCTTCTCTTATGGATAATGTGCCAGCTCCTCTCCCTGCCTCTCTCCCAGACAGGCTGCCCTGCTCTTGGCTGGGAGAATCTTCCGAGATGGAAGACCAAGCTCCTGCACAAGCTGCCTGCATCCTGGACAATCACATTAGCCAATTTCTTTTTCAAACACAAAAAAACTTGATTTTTTTTTTTCTGAGCATATTTATTTCAGCGTGCTCCATCTCCAGGCTGCCAACATAAACCCCAAAAGTCCAAGTAGATCAAGATTTTCAAATGCCAAAATTATGGCATGTGAACTAGCAGGAGGCAAAGGAGCATACTCAAATAATAATGATAATGCTTTAGGAGAGTCTGAAGTTCCTCCTGCATTGTCATCCCCCAAATAAAGTTCCGTTTCACTTTCCAAGCATCCTGCACGGGATCTGCACATCTCCCAGTGCCCCACTGCCCTCACAGCTCTTACAGATAAGTCCCCCGTGTTCTGGCTCAGTGGAGTCTTGTACCGCCCCACAGTGTGGGCACAACTTTCCCATTTCTGTTCTTTTTGCTCCTGCTTTTGCTGTCAAGTCTTTT